GCATTTTTTGGATGGTGTGACTTAGGTCTGGGCGATATGGATCAAAAAAAATATCTCGATATATTTTGCTATATCTCGATATACGATATATATCTCGATATATGTTCAAGAAAAAATAACCCCCTAAAACTATAAACTGCAAAAACAAATCTGTCAAATTCCACAAGGTCCTTTTTTTTAAATTGAAGTGTAAGAGGTCGACAGTTTAACATTTAAGATGACAAAAAACCCTAATTACATAAATAATAATTTAACTGTAAAATAAAAGAAATAAAACATATTTTCTTCTTTTCATTCATAAATAAAACAACTCAACACAAGTTCATCTTTGCATTAACTCTGTTCTCCAGACCAGAATCATAACCATGAGCTCATTTAGCAGAAGAAGCTCAGGATGTTCCTTATTTTAACAGATCCATGTTCCAGCAGTGAGGATCTGAGGTTTAATCTCACAATCCACTGCAGATCAAACCCAACGTTTCCGAACACAACAACAAGTGACACTGCAGCAGATTATTAATTTAAATATTCTGCATAAATAAACTTTACATTGCTAAACTTTACAATATATAAAACATAACGACTCTAGAGCCACATCAGCCCGTTTGACATTATAATGTGTTTAATGCAGTTTTGCGCACGTGTGTTTACATTTTACAGAAACGAAACTTAAGCTCATGGCTCATTTGCATAAACAGCACTTCTCCTGCAGCTCAGCTCGTTCAGCTTCTTTCGGGCTAAAGGACGCGACTCAGTGGAACATGAGGATGTGCTGCTGCTGCTGGTGGTTTTGTCTGTAAATGGTGGAAAAGGTTCGTGGTGCTTGAAGTTTTTCACTGGCACCAACTTTCTGCTTTCACGGCGACAGTGACGAGTGAAGGAGACACGAGCGAACAAACTCAGGGAGGCGGCGGCGCGGAGGTGACGAGAGAGAAACAAACAAGTGAAGCGGCGAAATCAGAATTGAATATAAGCATTATATCGATATATACGATATGTCAGAATTCATATCGAGTTTAAAAATGATATATTTAAAATATCGATATATCGCCCACCCCTAGTGTGACTTATACTCCGGAGCGACTTATAGTCCAAAAAATACAGTACATGTATTTGAGTATTTTTTTTACTTCTATAAAAGATAAGCATGTCAGTTTTAACAGGTTCTTCATGAAGCTGGACTGACTTTCAACACTGGTGTAGTTTTGTTTCACCGTCAAACTGAGGCGTGTTTTTGTAACCGTGTGTAAATGTGACACAGAAAACAAAACCAAATGATTGAATAAAACGTGCGCTTCAAAAGGTCAGCGCCTGTTTAACCACGAGCTCATTCATTGACTGAGCTGTTATTTATTAACCACCAGAGCAACAGTATTAAACACATACAGACAGAGACGGTAGAAACGACTGAAGGATCACACACACTCTCCTTTGTCTGTTTTCATGACTCACTTCATAATTATGTGTTTAATGATGCTCCTTTACACTTGATATTATAGATAACAGCTGTAACATTTGCTCCTGTTGGTTTAGAATTGGACTTTAGACAAACTGTATTGATCCACAAGGAAATGATTTGGAGACAGTAACTCACACATCATAATATAAAATAATAACAAAAAGCAACAATATGGATGGTTATAATTAGGGATGTACGGTACGATATTTATTGCGATATTTTAAAGAAGTTGATATATTTGTAGATGGGACACGTTTCTGCTTTTAAAACACCTTCACAAGATTTTGGTGTGACTTATTTCTGTCATAATCTCAAGAATTCAAGTCAAAAACATATTTCTTCATGTTGTCTGCGCTGAAATGAATCATGGGAGATGTAGTTCACGATGTTTATCAGATGTTGCTGCTGTAAAATCATGCATTTAAGCAAAGAAACTTGTCGAAGTTTTCAGTTTGTCCAAGAAAAGGTGGAAGTAAAAGGCTGGAGGAGAAGTTTATTTATTATCAGTAACACGGCCCGTGGGACTTGAAAAATCAGCTTAGTGCGTTTTCAAAAGTAAACAGAGTTTGATCTTTGTTCAAGCCCCTTGACTCTGATTCCAGAGGACGAGGTTTATAAAGTGAGTGTGGTGAGACTATGAAGAACAGTAGACACCAGTTAGTCACAAATATACCACAGTTTAGATCATGGTGCCAGTCGTCTGCCAGGGGAACATCATGGTGTAAATTTAGCTTTTGTGAGTCAATGTTAAAGATAAATTACTTAAATTCTTTTACAATGTTATATATTGTGACAGTTGATGTTATTGTGAGACTTTTGATACGATATTATGATATTTTGGTTATTGTTACATCCCTATAGTTATAATAAATAATACACTAGTCATATAATCACATCTGAACCTGAAACCTCTTCTGAAAGTCTGACCTCATTAACAAACAAAATGTGTCTGAAATATTTTAATTCAAAACTAAGTAATTTTTAAAAAGAGTCATCTTCTCTCAGTGAAAGACTTTCAGATCTCACAAGATCAAAGCAGCATCTGCAGAACATTCAGCTCTTCATGTGTGATTCATTTTGCTTTGAGGAAATTAAAGCAAAGATTCTGCTGAAAAACCAAAACACGGCACGAGAACTGAATCATTTCACCTCATGTTTCCTTCATGTCTGAGGACACAAAGGTCAAGTGTCTCACGTCTGTTTTAAAGGACTTTTATTTCACAAACTGTGAGACCAAACACATGCAGAAAGAAGCTCAGACTCTCTGCGAAGTGCAGTACACTCGGACACGGACACGGACTCGGACTCGGACACGGACACGGACTCGGACTCGGACTCGGACTCGGACTCGGACTCGGACTCGGACTCGGACACGGACTCGGACTCGGACACGGACACGGACTCGGACACGGACTCGGACACGGACACGGACACGGACTCGGACTCGGACTCGGACACGGACTCGGACACGGACTCGGACTCGGACTCGGACTCGGACACGGACACACGGACTCGACTCGGACTCGGACTCGGACTCGGACTCGGACTCGGACACGGACACGGACTCGGACACGGACTCGGACTCGGACACGGACTCGGACTCGGACACGGACACGGACACGGACACGGACTCGGACTCGGACTCGTCGGAGCGTGTTACAGGACACATGATGGATGGTGTGGACTTTAATGATGATGAAGGACGTGTTTAAAAGTCATATATCACACAAAATGACTTTTAGTCATGTTCTAAAGCTGTTACCTCATCACAAACACACTAATCATGTCATTCATTCATTCGTTTTTCAATATAAAACCAAAAATAAGAAAATGAAAAAAAAGAAACAATTTTCTTCTTTATTTTTCTCCAAAACCAAAATGAAAAAACAGATAATGATTCGTTTTTTCAGTTTTTAATTTTGTGTTTAAATGAAAAATGGAAAAAACTGACAACGAACATTTCCCGTGACTCAAACTGCAACGCCGGACTGAACCAGGACTGAACCAGGTCTAAACCAGGTCTAAACCAGGTCTAAACCAGGTCTAAACCAGGTCTAAATCAGGACTAAACCGGTCTCAGTCCGAGTCTGGTCCCAGTCTCCGGTTTGGTCTCGGTTTCAGTCCCGGTCTCAGTCCTAGTCTCAGTCCTAGTCCTGGTCCTGGTCAAATTCCTGGTCTCTGTCCCGGTCTCTGTCCTGGTCCTGTTCCCGGTCTCGGTCTTAAACTAATACTGAACTAGGAGTGTTGGGACGGGCCCGAAGGTGATCGGGACTGAGACTGGTTCAGTCCCGGTTCAGTCTCGGTTCAGTCCTGGTTCAGTCCCGGTTCAGTCCTGGTTCAGTCCCGGTTCAGTCCTGGTTCAGTCCTGGTTCAGTCCCGGTTCAGTCCGGTTCAGTCCGGTTCAGTCCGGCATCGCAGTTTAAGTCACAGCAACATTTTTAATTTAAACACAAAATCAAAAACTGAAAAAACAAATCATTATCTGTTTTTCCATTTTAGTTAAATAATGAAGAAAATTGTTGTTTTTTATTTTCTTATTTTTAGTTTTATTTTGAAAAACAAACGAACGACACACAGATTCATCCTGTACCTGGAGTCGTGTTTAGTTTCATTCACACACGTCGGAGTAACTCTTTATTATTCGTCTGTCTACATCTCCACAGCTCAGAACGCTCTGCTCCACCTTGTGATGTCATGAAGTGGTAGTTTTCAAGTGAACAGCTCTTTTTATCTGAATTTGGGCTGAAATTGTTGCTGTTTGAGACAAGAACTCGGCGTAAATGTGCAGGTTTGTGAGTTAAACGTGTGAATGAAACAAAACACAACTCCGGATCTGAATAAATAAACCAATAAATCAATAAATAAATCAATAATCCAGCCTCTGACCAGTCTGTGCCGTGTGTCCTTGTGTGTGTGTTCAGCTGTTGGAGCCCGTGTGTCACCAGCTGTTCGAGTTGTACCGCAGCTCGGAGGAACATCTGCGTCGCTTCACTCTGCAGTTCCTCCCCGAGCTGGTGTGGGTGTACCTCCGGCTCACGGCCAGCAGGGACCGCCAGAGCAACGGCTGCATCGAGGCCCTGCTCCTGGGCATCTACAACCTGGTGAGTCCCTCTGCAGAGCTCCTCACTCATATTCCCCATCCGATTCTTCTGCTGTTTTGGTTTTGTTTGTTTGGGTAGTTTAGTTTATTTTACTTATTTATCTACGGTATTGAGATTTGGGGCAATACATATAAGACGAATACAAAGCCTACAAAAAAAGGCAATAAGAGCATCACATTATCAACTTATAACGAACCAACCAATGCATTATTTATAAACCTTTAAGCGTGGAAATTTTATGATTTAGTCGACCTGTACACTCTTAAAATCATGTTCAAAATAAACAACAATCTCCTGTCGAAATCGTTACAGAACATGTTTAAAATCCGAAAGAGCCGATATGAGCTCAGAGGAACGACCGAGTTTATCAAAAAGAAAAACAGAACAAACATTATGAAATTTTGAAAATCTGTTAAAGGGCTGGAGCTCTGGAACAACTGTACAGAAAACCTAAAACTGTGCACCACTTTCTTTCACTTCATAAAGAAGTTTAAATGTTTAACTCTGGACAGAAACATGAAATATGAGACTTAGTTTGTGCTGTAGAACTTTGTTGTTCTGTTTCTGATTAGTTTGTTTCTTCCTGCTGTATTTTTGAAGATGAACTGGTGTCAAGATGAAGCTCTGACAAAGGAATAAAGGGTAAAGGCAGAATAAGCTTAAGCTTCAGCCTGCACCTTTTTCGGTCTGTATATGTTAAATATGACTGTTTATGAATTAATGTCAAAATATACATGTGACCGAAATAAATAAATAAATAAATAAATCATGCACCATTTAGTTGGTGCCCACATGGACTTATAAGACACATAAAACAAGAAGCAGACAGATCACACATTAAACATAAAGTGTCCCAGGCTTTCAGCACAAACTGAGCAAACTTAAAAACATTACATTTAAACAAATACTTCAGTCTCTCCTCATCAGACACAACAAACCAACAGAAAGACACATTAGACACGACTGACAGCGAAGGTCATGATACAAAGGACAGTAAAACAAAAACTGCATTTCATTTTCAATGTCCTTTAAGTCGCACAGACACAAGTGCACTGCTCCTCCTCTGGGACTGAGTGGAATCGTCCCGTCTCCAAGGCCAGAGGCAGAGTCCCACACCTCAACTGGGCCCATCCTGACCTCTGACCTCTGACCTCTGACCTCTGCTCAGGTTCAGGGTGACATATGGTTCAGGTCCAAAACAGTCTGTAATTAAGATATATGTTCTTCATTTTGGTTTACAGAAGATGTCATTGTGCCACTTTTGTTTAAACTTATCAAAGTAAATGTTTCTCGCTTGTTGAACACAACAGATGAACTTATTTCTGTAAATAAACTGGAGATCTGCAATCTCAAAGATGTTCTCCATCTCTCTACTCCAGGACGATTTATGGAACAGACTCCAGTTAAAAACATGTTTGGTTCATCTTGTGTCTGGCATTAACCAACCTGTTCCAGAACCGCACCATGTCACAAATGTGTCTCACTTCACATGGTTCCAGCTCATATCTCCACACAGAGACGTTTAGGCGCCTTTTTGTGCACGTCTAAAAAGTGGTAATATGGTCGTGCCTTGTGGTGCTGTTGTTGTCTAAACTACTGATGTCCCGATCACATTTTTTGCCCCCGAGTCCAAGTCATTTGATTTTGAGTATACGTCAATACCGAGTCCCGATCCGATACTTCTATAAAACATCACGAAATGAACTAAGAGCAAAGAATAAGATCCAGGATGTGTGGAGGATCAGATTGTGTTGATTTCATGTGTCGTATTTGACTGAACTTGTGAAAAATCAAATGTCCAAAACTTTAATTTGATTAACTTTTCTAACCATGAACCATCATTGTTGAAAAATTCTTATTATTTCTTATTTATTTATTTATTTGTAAAGGGACAGTACATATTAATGAACATTAAAAAAAATGTAAATATGTAAAGATTAAAGCCAACGTGGCTCATTTCCATCTTCAGTCCCTCGGCAGGTTGATGTAAAATCATCTACAGGACGAGGAAAAGTACAGCAACACAAAAGTACAACAACACCAGCACAATCACTATACACACAATTAGTTTCAGACAGTTAATTTGAAGTTCAAAGTCAAAAGTTTAAGAATTAAACCAAGAGTTAAACCAACAACCCCTCAAAATAAAAAAACTTGAAAAGCAGTCAGAGAGCGCAGACTCCACCAAGGACCACCCCCATTTTTTATATAAATTGCGATAAAATGAGTCTTCTGGATCAGATCCGGATCAGCCTTTGGAATATGAAAGAGGATCATTGTCCATCCCTGAGTCACATTTCATGGGGTTTGGTCAATAATTAACCCAGATATTGAGAAACTAAATGTTTGGCCCCATTTACCACAATGTTAACTAAAATTTCAAAATGATCCAGAATCCAGGATTTCTTCCGGATCAAACCCAAAATGAAATCAGTTCTTCCTTTTCACATTTCCAACAAATCCTGAAAATGTCATCAAAATCGGTCCATAACTTTTTGAGTTATGTTGCTAACAGACAAACAAAGACAGACAAACAAACAGACAAACAAACAAACAAACAAACAAACAAACAAACAAACAAACAAACAAACAACAAACAGACAAACAAACAGACAAACAGACAAACAAACAGACAAACAAACAAACAACAAACAGACAAACAAACAAACAACAAACAAAAACAAACAGACAAACAAACAAACAAACAAACAAACAGACAAACAGACAAACAAACAAACAGACAAACAGACAAACAGACAAACAGACAAACAGACAAACAGACAAACAGACAAACAGACAAACAGACAAACAGACAAACAGACACAAACAAACAAACAAACAGACAAACAGACAAACAGACAAACAGACAAACAGACAAACAGACAAACAGACACAGACAAACAGACAAACAGACAAACAGACAAACAGACAGACAAACAGACAAACAGACAAACAGACAAACAGACAAAACATAACCTCCTTGGCGGAGGTAAAAATCTTGACTTTTACCACAGTTTGGTCTTGGAATGTGTAACTTAATAAACTTAACGAACTGGACAAAACAGGAACCAGACCAGAACCAGATCAGACCTGAGACTCGACTCTGCACAATCGACACTTTGTATATTTGATATTATATGTTTGAAACATTTAGGCTCGTCTATGAAATCCAAATAATACAAAATCTTACTAAATAAAAAACAAGATGACAGAACTGACCCCACATCCACAAACCCACAAACCCACCGTGGAGCACCGCACCACCGGCCCCTCTGCTCAACAGACACTTCATGCAGCCGGACGGACCCTCTCCACCAACAGTGCAAACAAACAGCGGCGTGCGGCGATCGACATCGGCCGCGCAAGTGTGAACACAGGCCACAGAACCACAGGTGACAGCGCCCGAGCGCGACACGACCCGAAAGTCCCGGCGTAAGTGCGTCTCTAGTACAACAGACGCTGGGACAGACAGTAACGCTGACTGGACGTCCCTGAGTAAATCCCACACCTCAGTTCAAAAAAAAAAAAAGTTGTGTGCTACAAAAACACACAAACCAGGAACAAAAGTCACACTTATAGTCTGAAAAATAGACTGTCTTGTTTCCAAGATAAGATACTTCAAAATAACTTAAGAGTCTGACCACGAGTGATTTCTTAACAGGCAAACCCTTGCAGTTCTTCACACAAGCCTATGTAACACATTCCCTAAGCCTATGTGCAGTCACATCCGTGTGCAGATTTTGACACGTGTGCGGCGGGGAGAGCCCTGCTAATGGACGCAGGTAGATTTCATGACAGGACTCCCCCCTCAGGAGCTCGGGCGGATCGGCGGAACAGCCCCGCGTCCCCCGCAGCTCACAACACGCACCATTCATTATTCATGCACGAGTCACACGGTCTGACCTGTGGAAGCTCAGACACAGACGAGGACACGACGGGACGTTCACCGACTCGAGTGGATTCATAGATTTACAGTGTTGCTTCAAGTCCAGTTGAAATGCAGCTTCATATGTTACGATGCAGTACGTAACTTTTCCAGTGAAGAGTCCAGCACCTACTTATCTCCATGGAGGTGTTTAGTTTATTTAGTTTATTTAGTTTAGTGTTGTTTGTTCAAGGGTGGAGGTTTGCACAGGGACGGTGGGGACGTGTCACAATCAATATTTGGGGAAGACAAAATAGTCCCACTAATATTTGCCTTTTTATTTTAATAAACAAAAATATACATTTATTCTGATATTTTTCAAAACTCAATAGTTTTAACTGAACAGGTTTTAGTTCACATTTTGTTTATTAGACGTTCTGAGTTGTGTTCAGTGATGTGACGACAGGGTTACACCTGCCGCTGTTTCATTGGCTGTAACAGAGTGATGTCATCAGTGGAGCCAGGAGCCTAAACTGGGGAAGCGGCAGGACAGGGCCGCACCTGAACATGTCGACTTGAGCAGCGTGAGTGAAAACTTTGACAAACTTTTCAAAAGGAACTCGACTTCATCTTCAGTTAAACTTGTTGTATAATTTGTCGCGGCGGAAAAAGAGCGACTTCACCACAAGTGCTCCTCCCAAACGGAGCCGGGACCGGAGCCGGGACCAGAGCGGGACCACGGCGGGACCACGGCGGGACCACGGCGGGACCACAGCGGGACCAGAGCGGGACCAGAGCGGGACCACGGCGGGACCACAGCGGGACCAGAGCGGGACCAGAGCGGGACCACGGCGGGACCACGAGCACATCCTGAACTTTGACTCCGAGCCTCAGCTTTGAGGTCCGGCCCTGCCATGGGCTCTGAGCCTCCGGTCTGGTCCCGGTCCTGGTCCCGGTCTGGTCAGTCTCTGGTCCCAATCTCAGTCTGGTCTGGTCCTGGTCCTGCTCTGGTCCTGGTCTGGTCCCGGTCTGGTTCCGGTCTCAGTTCTGATCTCAGTCTCGGTCTGGTCCCGGTCTGGTGTCCGGTCTGGTCCCGGTCTGGTCCTGGTCTGGTCCCGGTCTGGTTCCGGTCTCAGTTCTGATCTCAGTCTCGGTCTGGTCCTGGTCTGGTCCTGGTCTGGTCCCGGTCTGGTCCTGGTCTGGTCCTGGTCTGGTCCGGTCTGGTCCGGTCTGGTTCCGGTCTGGTTCCGGTCTCAGTCTCGGTCTGGTCCTGGTCTTTTCTCGGTCTCAGTCTCGGTCTGGTCCCGGTCTGGTGTCGACCTGGTCCTGGTCCTGTTCTGGTCCTGGCCTCGGTCCTGCTCTGGTCCCGGTCTCAGTCCCACTCTGGTCCGGCTCTGATCCCGGACCTGGATCAGTCCTGGTTCAGTTCGGCATCTCAGTCACTGAAGTCACGTAAACGGGAAACGGCCGTTATCTGTTTTTTCCATTTTTCATTTAAACACAAAATCGAAAACTGAAAAAACACATCATTATCTGTTTTTTCATTTTGGTTTTGGAGACAAATAATGAAGAAAACTGTTGTTTTTTCGTTTTCTTATGTTTGGTTTTATATTGAAAAACAAATGAACGAATGACACACGGATTCATAAATTTTACTTCCTCAAGTTTCTCTCCGAAATACAATATTATAATAAAACCATCCACTCGTCATCCAACTCCAAAGCAAATTATTTAAGTTATAATTATAATTTTTTTATTTATTTTATTATAATTTTATCGATGTGAACCTACACCCTTCGAATATTATAACCAAAAGAACAACATTTCCGTGGGAAACAAGGACAAATAAGAGTCAGGTTTGTGGAGATGCGAGCCCACTCACAGTAAAGACACACGTTTTTCAGTGCAATAAAAACATCCGAAGTAATAAACCACAACGCCAATTTATTTTAGTCGACTTGCTGTTACACACTGTGACTTTAACTCTGACGTCTTCACCTTGATTTGTGTCTGTTCCCAGTTTTACTAATGACACCACCACCATTTTCAGCTCAGTCTCGCAGTTTTTTCAGCACATTTCCCTGAAACGGCTCCTGATCGTCGAGAGGACGAGCCGCAGATTAACGGCGACTCTTGTTCACAGGTGGATTCGCAGGTGGATTCGAGAGGCTTAGTCACGCATCGGGCAGATTGGACTCGGATAATCAAAGCTCCGAGTGAAAGAGCAGCAGTAATCCTCCGGTCTGGACTCTGAGGGGGGCAGAGGGCAGGAGCGGACGTGTGATCCGCTCCACTCCGTGTGATTGAACAGTAAATAATCATCAATGAGCCGTACTCACTCTGCCTTTGTGTGTTTCTGTGTGTGTGTCTCTGCAGGAGATCGTGGACAAAGATGGAAACAGCAGACTCCTGTCCTTCACCATCCCCTCTCTGTCCAAACCCTCCATTTACCATGAGGTGAGTTTAAAGGTTGTATGGAGGATTTTTTTTTGTTTTTCAAATTGTCAGTGATAGATTATAGATGCAGTCGCCTTGTAATTATGATGACCAAAAAAAAGAGAATAAAAATTCATCAACTCTGGACGTGGTGGGGCTAAACATTTGCCAATAGATAACGACACTGCCTCGTTATCTGTGAGCTGACAGGCTGTCAATCAAACTCCCTACGTTTCTAGTGTAACTGACTTGCCTGCGCCGCCGGTACGTGGTTTACGTACGACTGTCACACAGTCCACAGACGCAAGACGCACAGACGCTGTTTACTCCACCAACGCAACAGTTCTTAGCGGCTTTTTTTGACCTATATCTTCCTCGCAGTTCGCACAAAGTTTGTTGCGATGGCGACAAGAATCCAGGAGCAGTTCGCCGCAAAAGAAAGTCCGTTTTTGAGGTGAAAGAAGAAGACAAGGGGAAAAGCAGCGAAGCCAAACTAAGGTGATTCTTGGAGATTCATTCCAGCGATGGCGCGACTGAAGCAGACGAAGGGTCTAAAGACTGAACCACTGGTCCACAAATTACTCCTGGACAGGAAACTTCTGCTTATTATGAAAACGTACTTTATTTCCAAGAGCTACACAAACGTTTTTCAGGACACGAAAGCGATATCCTATGTCTGAAAACGTAATTTTCAATGCAAAGAAAGAGTCCACTTGCTGCTGCGTGTTGTAGTTAGTTCATTCGCACTGAATCTCCGCGCAACCTTCTCTGCACCCCTTTCCTGCTCCTCTCTCCGCTCCGCTCTTCCCCCTGCTCCTCACTTCTCGGTCTTGCTTAACCAACACTGTAGTTAGTTGTTTACAAGTCATGTGCATCGATGAGGACTTGTTTTCTTGTTTCTACGTAGGAGCTGTGGGGGAGGGGAGGTGGTTTCACGCAGGAGCAACATTTGAAAAAGGACAAACAGTCGCTGGATTTCTCCTTCCTTGGAAAATCCTCTATACAACCTTTAAGATCGACAGAATGTCATTTTCAACGTTAAATTACAGTTACATGGCCAGAATTATACACAAATACAAGGAAAAACTCAAAAAGTACCACAAAATCTACCCAGGTGCAGTAACTTGAGTATTTGTATTCAGTTTCTTTCCACATGTGCATTTATTTATATTATCAAAATGAACAGTGTTTTTAGACAAATGTACAATGTAAAAAACTGCAGGGTCCCTCACGATTTGATACAATACTCGATACATGGCTCACGATACGACAATAATGAGATAATCGATATTTTGAGCACGATACTCTGCGATAAATCAGTTACTTTTTATTTAAGTCACTCTTGAATAATATGTAATGTGAGCGTAAGAGAAAATGTTGTGCTTTTATTTTGGTAGTCAACAAGTAGGAACTGTTGTTGTTTTGTTCGGTTCCGCTGGACCCTGGTTAGAGACACACGCCTGGTCGAGAAGCAATACACGCATCAAGAATGTCAGACTTCAGGTCATCGCGCAGTGACAAACTGAGAAGGATTTTCCAAAAACGTGAGCATCAAACCTCCATGTTTGTTTTCCCAGTGGGATTTTGTTTATTGTCAAAGTGGATCTTTTCAAGTCTTTTGAACCATGTCACTTTTGTTTCTGGTTCTGATATTGTCATATTTTAGTTTTGGGATTCGGAACGTCGTTAATTGTTGTGGTTGTTGGATCCTAACAGTGGAAAACGACTCGAGAATTTTGTTTGTGAACTTCCATAAATGCAAAAGTGAATCAGATGTGTGTGACTCAAACCTCCGTTCAAACTGTTTCTCTTCCCAACGGAATTGAAAAATAGTGAAAGGTGAAGGTGATGGGCAGGATTGATCCACAGGAAGAACCAAAAAGGAAACATTTGTCTGACTAAGAAATCATCCTGAGTTTACAGAGAACATTTTGTATGTGGAGCGACGACAAAACAAAATCCTGATCCCTCACTCAGGTCTTGGTTACAAATTTAAAAAGTCAACGTCAAAGTGAAAGTCTCCAACTGTTCACCAAGAAACACCTTCCACTGCAAAGACCAAGACGTGATGTTTCTGTAAAACCACAAGAACAAGAAAGTGCAGCTCAGTCTGTTTGTCTTCTGCTCCTCTACATTAACAAACAGGATTTTGTTTTGTTTTCGCTCCACATACAAAATGTTCTCTGTAAACTCAGGATGATTTTAGTCAGACAAATGTTTCCTTTTTGGTTCTTCCTGTGGATCAATCCTGCCCATCACCTTCACCTTTCACTATTTTTCAATTTCCGTTGGGAAGAGAAACAGTTTGAACAGGAGGTTTGAGTCACACACATCTGATTCACTTTTGCATTTATGAAGTTCACAAACACATTTCTCGAGTCGTTTTCTGCTGTTTGGATCCAACAACCACAACAATTAACGACGTCCGAATCCCAAAACTAAAATATGACAATATCAGAACCAGAAACAAAAGTGATATGGTTCAAAAGACTTGAAAAGATCCACTTTGACAATAGACACGTCCCACTGGGAAAACAAACATGGAGGTTTGTGGTTTGCGTCTATAATGTGGCGTGTTGGCAAACCAAGTCATTTAAATTAAAATAAAGTGAATAAACTTGTGTTAAAAGGTCATTCTACCTCCAAAGTATGGGTCAGGCAGCGAGGTATGTTTTTGTAATTGTTCATGTCTTTATTTTGTGTCTTTTATATTATACTTTTCTAATTGTGATTGATGTTAATTATTTGAGTTCGACGGTGGCGTTGGTGATGTTGGTGACATCAGAGGAATCCTGTAAGTCTCAAGATTGTACAAGCCACTATAAAGATGAATCAAGTCATCAGTAAAAAGAACTCTTTACTGACTAAACAAGGAGGTGGTGTGATAATCAGTGTGTTTAAGAACCAAATACATTCCTAAACATGCCTAAAAATACTCTTGGCGATATATCGATACAGCAGCCCACGATAACGATACTGTATTAGAACATTTAGTATCAGGATATTGCGATATTTTTGGACACCCCTAATTCAAATTTCAGTAACAGATCACAAATGTGTTAAAACGTGCCTGTGATTGTCTTTGTCGAGGTTCACGCGTCACACAAAACCAAACTGGACCATAGAATTAACCACAAAAAGACATAACGATCAATATTATACCTACTGTTTACGATTGAATAGCTGAAAGATACCAAAAAATAAACAACGATATATAGATACAGGAACGATACTTAATTTAGCATCACGATATATCGAAATTTGTTTAATTTTGCACACTGCCGGTAAATATCCAGCCCCTACTGTGTGAATGAGACATTAGACTCCTGATGAATGGATGGACCGTTTGTTTAGGGTTGTTGTACTCTTGGCAATATATCGATAAAACAGCCCACGATAACAATACTGTATCACCAAATTTAGTATCACGATAGGATGATATATATTTTTTTGCACACCGCCGGTAAAAGAGCCAGACACGTGAGCTCCTGCTGTGTGGACGGGACATGAAACTCCTGCTCGTCCGTGTGTTAAATGAGTCTGTGTGAGATGTGCTCGGCTCTGACACTTTCCTAATATAGAAAGTGCTGAGTGCGACCGACAGTCATGTCAAGTCAGGTCATTATAATAAGACGAACGCGTTTGGAAAGAGGAGAGAGAGAGAGACTATGCTGGCTCTGGTGATCCTTCTTTGACTGGTTTTAACGACTAGTTTAACGACTACTTTGTATATTTTAATAATTATATTCTAATAATATAATATAATCAGTGTTTTGATTAAAATTTGTGTCTTTCATATTAAGTTTGTGCGGGTAGTGGTTTGACAAAGACATTTTCATTGAAAATGTTCTTGAATAATGATCTCCTATTTACACGTCCATCTTCAAACCTAAAACAAAATAAACAAGAACAACAGGTGTAGTCAGGTCAGGACCAGAGGTGAGGAGCACCATTATGGACATGAATTGTTCTGTTAATTAGACCCAAACACCCTGTACAGGTCAACAGGCCGAACTAACAAACACAAACTGTAAACAAGTGTGTGTTAGTTTCAGAGTAGTTTCAGTGTAGTTAGCTCCTCCCTGCAGATATAAGGAAGTGTCACCAGCGTCTGACCAGAACTGAAGAAGCAGCTTGGACGAGCTGAGAAACGTTTTCAACCAAACTAACTTTTGTCCAGTCGAAAAACTGAATTTTCTCACATTTTTACACAGCACCTGTTGAGGAAAACCGATAAGTTAAATAAAATGTTCTCAAATTAGCAACAAATTACAATGAATTTATTTTTTTTAGAATATTTCATTAAACAGTAAACAAAACTTTTCAAAAAGTAAAGTGCAGCACTAACAGTTCCAGTATGAACTTTTACTCAGTCTTCAGATTTTTGGCCAGAAAAACAAACTTGTCCACATTTTCTGGAGTAAGAGCAGATCTGCCAACGAAAGGCGAGAGTGAGACACGATGACCGTAGTTTTGTGAGGATTCTCCAGATTGGGAGGGACGTAGTTGTTGTGAAGGTGTCCGCTCTAACTATAAAGCGCTGCAGGAAACACTGAACCAATCACGGACAAGTTCCTCGTGAATATTACAGAGTCGAGTCTCCGTGTAGCTGCACATGCACAAACAAACTGCACGAACTCAGTTGTACACAACCCTGCACCGAACTGAACACAAACAGTTTGACACAAATACTCTCCTGTACTGTTACTCCTGTAGTGGGAATCGACCGTAGTTTAGATTTGGCTCCTCTTCGTTGGTGCACGGAGCAGCCAGGACTCGTTGCATGTTGCACAGTTGGAGGTGTTGTCTGGTTAACAGGTCACGACATCGATCCTATCAGTAGCTCTTGTCCAGTTTAGTTACTGTATTTTACTATAGATTTGATAGATTGATAGACTGAAATCTCACACATTTGTCTTGACATCTCTGAGTCTCACAGCCGCGATCTGAGCCCTGATCTTCATATGACCTCAATACAACCATGAACTATATATAACTTACACAAAATCACCGAGCCTCGTTATTTATCCTAACACACTTTTTTTAGTATTACACTGTGTTCAATGTAAACTGTGATATTGATCTTAAAAACTGCTAATAAATAATAAAAACAGGTCTATTGATGTTCTGGTCAAAAGTCAGTTTTCGAGGTCGCTGAAAGAAGAAGAGGAAAACGAAACTGAGGTGATTCTTGGACGTCTCTTCCAGCGATGGCGCGAATGAAGCAGGCGAAGGGTCTAAAGCACAGGTGTCAAACATACGGCCCGGGGGCCAGATCTGGCCCTCCAAGACCTTTAATCTGGCCCTCGGCTGATTTTCTACTAAAATATTTGAATTATATTTTCTATTAAAATGTTGTTAATTTTCTGTGGTGTTTATCACAGCAGCGTCTCCAGCGTCTCTGTACGTGGCCCCTCCCACCAGAGCAGCACAAATGAAGACTTGTCTCTTTCCAAACGCTCTTAAAGGACGATCGTTTTGACTGTTGACCGTGACACCCTCATCAGAAAAATGTCCAACATGAGAAAAGTGGAGCCGAGTGCAGGATTTTACAACAAAAATGGACTTATTCTGTTTACAGACAAGTTCATGTTAAAACTTTGTGTTGTGTTTTTTTTTAAGTTTCAGGTTGTTCATAATATTATAATATTTAGTAAAAGAAAGAGTTCATCAATTAAAAAAGATTTCTGTAATAGATTTGTGTTTCTCTGCACAAATATTTGAACTTATTGTTATTTTTGGGGTTTATATGACATGAGTTTTCTGATCCGGACACTTTGGGATCAAAGTCGGTTGGACACGACCCCCGGAACAAAATGAGTTTGACACTCCTGGTCTAAAGACTGACGCGTCGGTCGCTAAATTATTTCTAGACAGGTCACTTCAAAAGTAATTCTGAACAAGTGTGATTTCTAGAGTCAGGAGGCGGGAGGAGGAGATGTTTTTGCTGAGGAGCTGTGGAGGAGGAAGGTGGTGTCACACATACACAACATTTGAAAAAGGACTGTCGCTGTATTTCTCTTCCCTTAAAAAAATCCTCTATACAACCTTTAATCAGTCTCTTGTTTTTGTGTCTCAGCCGTCCAGCCTGGGCTCCATGGCTCTGACAGAGGGGGCGCTGTGTCAACACGACCTGATCCGAGTGGTGTACAGCGGCCTGCACCCGCAGAGGGAGACCTTCACCGCTCAGAACAGGTGAGACTCAAACCATAACGCTAAAAATACTAAAGCAGGAGAAGCTGGGGGGTCCATTACCTGCTTGTTTCTACGGATATGTCATCGCTCTGCCTGAAATGTTCCACAGTGTGACTTTAAACAGCTCTACTTTATATTTATTCAATTAAAGGTGGTTTTATAGCACAAAAACACCTAGAAAAACAAACATTCTGACTGTGATTGACTTCTAACTTGGTCTGGTTTGGTCTTCGTGAAGATAGATACTGTGAAACATTTGGAGAAAAGCATTTGACAGACCCTCCACCAGAAAAGTTACACAATGCACCTTTAAGAAAATCAGTCTTTACTTTATTACATAATCTAATACAGTCGGTCTCCACTGGGCAGAACCATCAACGTAAAATAAAGGTGCATTAGTTTGTCATTTTTCTGGTTTTCTGCTCGTCTTCATGAAGATATAAAGTTGGAATTAACACGTATTTTTTTGTATGTTTTTGCCCAGATTTGAAGTGCTGTGCTTCCTGATGCTGTGTTATAACTCTGCCGTGGTCTACATGCCCCTCTCCTCGTACCAGTCTGTCTGCAGGATGAGCTCACGGTGAGTGTGGTGCACATCAGCTACGTTCAGACTCCAGGGCTTAATACTCAGTTTGGAATTTTTTGCGAGGTCGTTCACATTTCTAGTTAAATGTGACTTGTGTGTGATCTCCGGTGTCAACTTTAAACCCCAGAAGTGTCCCACATATCCACCGTTCTTATACAGCAGATATGTTCGTCATCTTGGCACAGTTCTTTTGGTGAGAGTTAAAGTGCTGTAATAGTCGTGTCATGTTTTACATTTTAAATACATATTTTACAGTCATATTGAACTATCACAAATTACTTTGAAATGACAGAAACAAGTCATAAATAACACACTACAGTTTTGAAGTAACTTGCCCAACAGTGCGGACTATAAAGACGTTTTAAAGTGCCCATCTGATGCAAATTAACTCTTTTCACATTGTATCTTCTGCACATAAACGAGCACAGTTTGGGTTTTGGAACAGCCATGACACAATAGTTCTGAAATCTTCCTGATTTCTTGGAGACAGTCACAGACCAGGAACTATGAAAGTCCGACTATTGCTCCTCCCCCCGCCCGTACTGAGAAAGCACAGGCTCCGCCCTCCAAACGTGACGTAGGCGACGAGTGAGCCGCCCTTCCTCCGCCGTCTCAGGGAGGGAGGGGGAGACAGAAGGAATAATTGAGCAAATTTAAATCCTATAAAAATGTTAGATGAAATGAGGTGGTCATAATGTGAACAGGTGAACACTAAACATCAGTGCTCGTAATGACGGAGGTGTAATTGCCATTTTGTTCTCGTGCAGAAGCGTTGAAGACAACTCGCTAGAATAAAACGATGCCCAAAGTCTGTTGTTAGTATCAGTGTGATATCGTAGGACGACGTAACGTTTGTCAAACTAAAACAGGTAGAACAATGGACATGACATGCAGATTGAAATTATATGTCAGATAATCTTCAAAAATAAACGCTGCAGTTTGTTTTTAGTTCTCTTCAGCGGTTTACTCGCGGTAAACTTACAGCTCTAGGATCGTCATCACTGGACCTGGTATCATGGGAACAGCATCCTTTTCCAAAGTGTCGCTTCTGCTTCATTTTAAGTCCAGTTTTAAAACACCCGTAATTCTTGAAGCGTCTTAGGTGAAGTGTCGCTCGCAAACAAAAATATTATTGGACCTTTTTGTCGGTGTTCCCAGAAATAAACTCCAGACTCTTATCATGCCTTGATTCTTCTGTCGACATGATAAATAATTTGGACTTTCCATCACAGCCAAATACGCACTTTCTCCACGAGGACATGGTTACAAAAAGTGTGTTTGAAGCGAAAAATAAAGATAAACAACGCAAAACAGCAGACGTGTACGGTGCAGACGCAGGACGGTGTGTGAGTGAGTGGGTGGAGGTGGTGGAGCGGGGGCGCGGGGGAGGGGGAGTGGGGGAGTGGGCCGGGTGTGAAGCGTTTTCTGCTACGTCAAACGCGTCGTAGGTGAATCTGCCGCGTCATCGCTGTAGCAGCTTTAGTTCGTTATCACATGGGAGGATGGCAGAAATACACTGTAATTTGTTCAAATAAAAACACAGAATCAATCTAAAAAACACTTGGGCAACAAATACAAGGCCCACACACACATCACTCGGAGAAGGCAGAAAGCTCTGAAAAGTGGATTTTGCATGAGACGGGCCCTTTAACCTCCCCCAGAGAATCGCTGCAGTGTGATTTGTTCCTGCACGTGAACATTGAACATTTTACACAAATGAACCGACTTTGTGTCAGATTTAAAATGCAAAACATTTCCCAAATTCTCTGTTGACATGAACAGGATTCTCATTTATCCAGAAGAGCCATCACAAAAAAAAAACAGGGTTTAGGAGAGTTTAGAGACTAGCGTAGACAAGGAGAAATAAGACGGATAAATATGATGTTGAGTGTGGGAGAGGAGCAGGCTCATTTGCATCACTCGTACATCACAAGATCTCGTCTCCCTGACCTGATTAAAACGTGTCACACTTGTGTAACTGTGATGATGTGTGTAATATTCTGAAGTGTCCTGTGTGTGTTTCCAGGCTGAGTGTGTGTGGCTTCCCTCGGCAGCAGCAGAAGCTCTGGAGGGAGCCGTGTAACCGAGTCCTGCTCGACCCGGAGTTCATGGTGCAGATGCTCACCGCCGTCTATCACTCCATGTACGCACGCTCTCATTTTGTCTAGATGTTTTGCTCATTAAAGGTTGTATGGAGGATTTTTTTTGTTTCAAATTGTCAGTGATAGATTATAGATGCAGTCGCCTTGTAATTATGATGACCAAAAAAAAGAGAATAAAAATTCATCAACTCTGGACGTGGTGGGGCTAAACATTTGCCAATAGATAACGACACTGCCTCGTTATCTGTGAGCTGACAGGCTGTCAATCAAACTCCCTACGTTTCTAGTAACTGACTTGTCTGCGCCGCCGGTACGTGGTTTACGTACGACTGTCACGCAGTCCACAGACGCAAGACGCACAGACGCTGTTTACTCCACCAACGCAACAGTTCTTAGCAGCTTTTTTTGACCTATATCTTCCTCGCAGTTCGCACAAAGTTTGTTGCAATGGCGACAAGAATCCAGGAGCAGTTCGCCGCAAAAGAAAGTCCGTTTTTGAGGTCGCTGAAAGAAGAAGACAAGGGGAAAAGCAGCGAAGCCAAACTAAGGTGATTCTTGAAGATTCATTCCAGCGATGGTGCAACTGAAGCAGACGAAGGGTCTAAAGACTGAAGCACTGGTCCACAAATTACTCCTGGACAGGAAACTTCTGCTTATTATGAAAACGTACTTTATTTCCAAGAGTTAGACAAACGTTTTCAGGACACGAAAGCGATATCCTATGTCTGAAAACGTCATTTTCAAGGCAAAGAAAGAGTCCACCTGCTGCTGCGTGTTGTAGTTAGTTCATTCGCACTGAATCTCCGCGCAACCTTCTCTGCTCCCCTTTCCTGCTCCTCTCCCCGCTGCCCGATCCACTCTTCCCCCTGATCCTCACTTCTCCGGGCACGGAATCTCCGCTCCTCTCTCCTCTCCCCTCGTTCCTCACTTCTCCGTCTTGTCTAACCAACACTGTAGTTAGTTGTTTACAAGTCATGTGCAGCGGCTGTAAACAAACCTGTTTGTGGCGTAAGGAGGAGGAGGGAGGAGGCGTTTCTACGTAGGAGCTGTAGGGGAGGGGAGGTGGTTTCACGCAGGAGCAACATTTGAAAAAGGACAAACAGTCGCTGGATTTCTCGTTCCTTGGAAAATCCTCTATACAACCTTTAAGTCTCCCTCAATTAGTCAGGCTGGCGTCCCCGAGTGCCTCCGCTCAGTTTCATTTCTCTCCAGCGACTAGTTCAGGAATCAGAAAACACTGGACGTTCGCGAAAAAACCCCAGAAGTGTGAGTTCGGGCACCGGCCAATCAGAGAAGAGACAGACATTCTGTGTTGGCAACGATTCCCGAGATCGAGGATTTAAAGCCGGAACAAAGAGAATGTTTGGTGAATTTTATCAAGAAGAAAGACGTTATTGTTCTTCTTCCTACAGGATTTGGAGTAGGGACGGGCATTCGATGAAATTTTCTTAATCGATCGTCGGAAGAATCGATTATCGATTAATCATTAACGGTTTTATATTAAAATGATCATCATTATTATTACTATCTGCACTAATCTGTATAAATAAATTCAACTTTATGACATATAAACATAACGACTCTAGATCCACATCAGCTGTTTGACATTATAATGTGTTTAATTCAGTTTTGTTCAAATCTCACAGAAACAAAACTTAAAACCACATCACTAATTTACATAAACTAAGTGAAGATAAAACTCCAGCTCTTGTGTCGCTGATGTGGTTCAACTTGTGTTGGATTAAAAGACATGACTCAGGTGAATACAGGTCAGTGTGACCAGATTTGTGTTTGTCAAAACCAGGACAGCGTACGGGGGGAGGGGGGCGGGGCCTCGTCATCCACATTGAGCGACTCTCACCTGGTAAAACTTTTTCCCACTGGACACAGAAACATATGTGCTGCTTTATCCACTGTGCACATGGACTCACACTTGTCCCAACGCAACGGAAAGTGTGGAATTTCTTCTACAAATCCTGGTTAAATCCACATTTGTGCTTCGGTTCGTTACAGACTGACCCACTGTTTGTGTCTCGCTCCTTCTGATGCAGAGACACATGTACACACCTGTTTGGTCACGATACACACAGAAACCTACACTCAGTTTGTCGATTAAAATGAACGTAATCGATGAAATTCTTAATGATCAATTATCGATTAATCGACTAATCATGCCCATCCCTAATTTGGAGCATTACATACGTCACAACCAAACAGCAGCAATTGGTTAAATTAAAAAAAGTACCCGCCTACTGTCGAGAGAACGAATCCTAACGCTGCGAGGTCACACGGTTTCTACGAAGTGAAAGCGGCTCATGAATCAAGCTGATGTTTCGCTCTCACACCAGCACAAACCGAACCGAGCCGTGGCCGATGAAGTCCAGCGGCAGAAATATCTATTAAATATTGAGCCTGATGTGCGTCCTTTTATGATACTCGCTCCTCTGTGAGTTTATGGAGATGAAAACGTGGAGCAGTGATGACGCTCTAGACGAGAGACGGACAGAAATGCAAAGTACTTTTGTTGTTTACAAAGGATAAAAATTGTTTCTTGGAGAACCACACGAAAAAGTGATGTTGTTCTGCCACTGTGAAGCTGTTACACTGAGCTTTATGTTTTCATTGTTATAAAAAGTGTGTAGTGACTATTTGTCAAATAAAAGTAACAAACAAAAGTGTGGACAAACTCAGAACTAAACATAACTCAGATAATCACCTTTGGCACCGTTGTGGTTTACAGCACAAATCAATGTCCATGACAAGAGATGATTTTCAAGGTTTATTTTCCAGTTTGGGCAAACAACAAGGAAAACATGTTTAAGGCGACTCCTGCTGCTTCTCCTCGTGACTGGGAAAAAACCACAGGCCCCAGGTCACTCTGGTCTACGTGTACCACCCTCTTTTATCCCCTAGGTGACCCGAATTAAACCAAAAACAAAAAAGAGCTGCTAACGTAAATAATACCAATTTAAACTAAGAAATTAGCAAGAATAACATTAACATAGCAAAAATATATTATACAAATTAACAAAACTAAATTAGTAAGCTAACTAACAAACAAAAATAATAAACACATTTTAGAATCAACAAATAAGAAATAGCTCCTACAAAGTGGTTTACACATAAAGTTAGCGTTCACATCATTTTCAGTCTCCAGTGTTAATTTACCAAACCGGACCAAATCTGCAAATCTAAAACATCCCAGACACACTGGATGTGAAGGTCTCTCAAAAAAAAAAAGTCAGGATTGTATATTACTGCCCCATATGATCATTTCCCCAAATATCAGATTTTTTTGCTGTTACTAAAATTGAATTTGAGCCTGAGAGGGTTAATCTGCGTTGGCGTTTGGCATCGAAAAATGAGCTGGATGCATCTAGTTGGACGTCTTTGCATTTGAGAGAAAAATAGTTGACACGCGTCCAGGGCGTCCGCTGCGGTCTGTCTGAGTTTGTTTTCGCGGTCGAGAGAATGGCTTTAGTGTATTTATTACATGAATCCATCAGCGGAGGAGATCGGATCGGTGGTTGCAGCGTTTATATATTTATACTCCGTTAATGGCGCGGAGTAGTTTTCATGTTTTGGTGTTTGTGGCTCTCGGGTCTTTGCCTTTATTCTCCTTCTTCTGGATAATAATGTCACTACTTCACTGGATACTCGTCTCTGATTGGTTAATGCGGTGAATCCGATGCCAAAAGTTCAGCTTTTTCAACTTCTGATCCATTTTTGGTGTGTGTTTGAGGCGTCCAGGGTCGATGCAGGACGCCTTAAACGCTTGACGCTAAACACAGCTTTAGTCCTCATTTAGTGAAACAATACTAATAATAGTTTTAGTCTGGTCTTAGTCACAGAAAAATAATGTTGTGGAATAGAAAATATTTTAACTGATAAATTGTGAGTTTGTTTCTGGTCTGGTTTGGGGCTCTGGGATTGAAAAGTGGATCTAGTCTCTATAATGTACATGCAGTTGTTTTGTAAGCAGGGCTCAGGGTTTGCTGCTCGTGTTTGGTTTTGTTTTTTTATGTGTGTTTTATGTGTGTTTGTTGTGAATGGCAGATATAACGGAGAGTGGGAGATGGGACGAGAGGCTCTGGAGGACATCCTGTACAGAGCTCAGCTGGAGCTCTACTCACAGCCTCTGCTGGTAAGAAAAAGAAACTGAATCTTGATTTTAAGAGCTCCACATAAACACGAGAACAGGATTCTGCCACATTTCAGATTACAAAAAAATCCCTGATTACATAAGTAACAATTTAGCTGTAAAATAAAATAATTAATACATATTTACTTCTTTTCATTCATAAATAAAACAACTCAACTCAAGCTCATCTCTGCATTAACTCTGAGAACCATGAGCTCCTTCAGCAGAGGAGGTTCAGGAGGTTCATTATTTTAACAGATCCATGTTCTTCACCAGCGTCAGGATCTGAGGTTTAATCCCACAATCCACTGCAGATCAAACCCAACGTTTCCAAACATTGTTGTAATTAAATTAATTAGATTAAAATCTTCTGCATAAATAAACTTTACAACATATAAACATAACGACTCTAGAGCCACATCAGCCCGTTTGACATTAGAATGTGTTTAATGCAGATTTGACACGTGTGTTTTACAGAAACTAAACTTAAAACCACATGACTCATTTGCATAAACAGCGGGCTCCTTGATCTTCTTTCGGACTAAAGGAGACGACTCGGTGGAACATGAGGATGTTCTGCTGATGGTTTTGTCTGTAAATGGTAGAAAAGTTTCATGGTGCTTGAAGCTTTTCTTTAGCACCGACTTTCGGCGAGGAGGAGGTGGGGGCGAGCACAGAGAAACAAACAAGCAAAGCAGCGAAATCAGAATTGAATATAAACATTATATCGATATATACGATAGAATCCACATCGAGTTTAAAAAACATGGAGATATTGCCCAGCCCTCTAAGATACGGCCTTTTAAATTGCCTAAATATCAGCTACTATTCTAAAAATCAGTTAATCTAGATATTATTTTTTGACATATATTACGCTACTTCACTTAAATTTTTCCTAAATATTTTCTAGTATTTTCTGAAATATTGATAAATGTGTGTTTGTGTTTGTGTTTGTCAGCTGGGGAACGCCATGAAGAGCTCCCTCCCGGACAGCGCCCCGGACGACCCGCGGGGGCGTAAGGTCCTGCAGGTGGAGGTGACCCCGACCGTCAGCCGCATCTCCATCTCCGCCATCACCACCGCCTCCATACGGCGCCACCGCTGGAAGAGAGAGGGTACTGCGCCCGCTCCCCCAAAAAACGCCCACACTTTCACACTCACGATAAGCAAACACAGCAAACACTCTCCTGCGCTTTTCTGTGATCTTCTTCTAAGTTTGTGCCTCTTTCTGATCAGTGATGGCCCACATGAAGGAGATCCTGGGTGAGATGTTTTTACGTAGACGTACATGTTGTTTTGTTCCAGCGGCGGGAGGAGAAGCGGGCGCCATCAGAGCTGCGCTTTTTGACGTCCGTGCCTCTGTGTTCATGCAGTCTGTCACTCGCTGCTCCTCACTGCTGCTTCTCGTCTTGTTCTCTCTGTTGTCTCCAGTTGTGGCGTGCGGAAGACGTTTCGTAGTTTTAGCGACAAACTTGAGACAAAATGGTGCCTTATTACACTCACTTCCTCAGACTTCACCGAAAATATCCTGCAAAATAGACTCGATTCTTTGACTTTGCTTCGTTAATAAGAATTCTAAATCGTTGAAACTCAGCAAAATACTCACACTACACTCGCCTCTTATCTGTTCATGGGTTTTAAAAGATGTGGAAGTGTTACTCCATCGTCATCACAATAAAGCAGTTCAAATTTAAGTAAGATACCGTATTTTTCGGACTGTAAGGCGCACTTAAAATCGTAAAATTTTCCCAAAAATCGACTCATGTAGTAATTCTGGTTGCGGTTACTGATCTTGAACTGATTTTCTGTGGTACACGGCGCTCAAAAATCTGTCAGAATGTTTCAGTACGACTTTGGTAAACGACGAAGCCGCACCGTTTGATGGATTGTCGGAGCGTTAGAGTAAAATCTTTTAAAAGTTTGACATGAACCATCTTCATTGTGATAGAAACACAGAACAGACTCACCATCAGCAGAACACCCCTCTTTTTTTTTTCAGAGCTTATAGTTTATGCAAATGAGTCATGTGGTTTTAGGTTTAGTTTCTGTAAAACGTAAGCAAATGTGTCAAAGCTGCATTAAACACATTATTACTCAGTGTTTATTTGAGTCATGCTTGTAGGAAATAAAATACAAATTTAAATGATCCACCCACATTCACATTCATAATCCACATTCACCAAGACAGAGAGACAACGCCGGGCGAATTACACCACGATCTGCCGATGGATCGAGGACGCCTGGACTAAGGATCGGACTCAAGTGTCGTCTGTTTGTTTCACTTAATGAGACTTATGTATGAAAACAGACGAGAGAATTCAACATTTTTCATATTGCACCTTATAGTCCAAGAAATACGGTATCTTTTGAATGGAGAAGTAATCACCTAAAACCATAAATCGATCATTTTGTCCCATTGGCCACACGGGGTTTTAGATGGTCTGAAAACTTAAAAGTGCTTTAGTAAAAGTGTAACTTTTCTACTGGAGGATCCGTCAAACACTTTTCTCCATTGAGATGTTGTTTCTTTGTCTGGAATGTTTCACAGTATGGCATTAAACCTTTCTATCGTCATGGAGACCAAACCAGACCAAGTTTTTCTAGGTATTTTTGACATTAAAATTAGATCTACGTTACATTTATTCAATTTCGGGTGGTGTTGTAGCTCACACTGTGGAACATTCTAAGCAGAGCAATGAGCGTAGGACCAGCAGGTGATGGACCCTCCAACAGAAAGGTTACAAGGACCACCTTTAAGAAAAAATACAAATCAATTTTAACGCAACAAATAAAAAAATAAATAAATAAATAATATAATAATAATAATCTGCAGCTGGTGATCAGTCAAAAGTGGTTTCAGTTTGCCTTTCAACAAATTGAACAGAGCAAAGCAGTGCCTCCCGCGGGATTTACCCTCCTCCAGTCCAGTCCACTTGATTTACATCGTACGGGACAAAACATGACAGTTTACAAAGTGCTGCACACACACATTAAGTCAGTAAAAGAGAAGTCAATCCTAAATAAAAACAAATAAAAAACATTAGAAAACATGAAGCCAGAGGTGGGACTTGCAAGTCGTGACTTGGACTCGAGTCAGACTTGAGTCACTATTTTTAGGACTTGAGACTTGACTCGATAAAATGGACTAAGACTTGGAGATTTGGGACTCAGCTTGGACTTGAAGGTCAGTAACTTGGGACTTGACTTGGACTTGAGGCCTGTGACTTGAGAAGCACTTTTAAATCTGAATTCTGAATATTCTGACCATAATGATTCACTTTAAGATCTTGTCAAGACATTTTAAAAAGAAACATTAACATTTCTACAAAATTAGCATTTCTACGAGTGTAAATACTCTATAAATACTCATATATAGATATACTATGATTTTTTAAAGTACAATTTATCTTAAAAAGCATATAAATTACAATAATCTAAACTGTATTTGGTGCTTTGGTTTAAAGACTTGAAATGACCTGAAGCTCAAAGCAGACGACTTGGACTTGACTTGGACTTATGGGCCAGTGACTCGAGACTCGACTTGGACTTGCTTGTCTGTGACTTGGGACTTGACTTGGATTTGAGGTCATAAACTTGAGACTTACTTGAAACTCGCAAAACGACAACTTGGTCCCACCTCTGCATGAAGCAAAACATTGTTAAAACTACAAATTAAATGAAAATAAAATAAAATGGAAATAAGTAATAAAAACATCTCTGCTGTATCCAAGAGGTCATAAGGAAAACCGTGTAAAGATGAAATGATAAAATAAAAATAAATAAAAGACATAGAGACAGACAAAGTATCAAACAAATGAACATCTCCTCAGCAGAAGCATATTTTTCCAAGTTCTGGCTGATTTCCAGAGGCGGTGTTACATTTAGGCAAAAGCAGGCAGCTGCCTAGGGCCCTCAAACCTGGAGGGGCCCCCAACCAACCAGAGCAATTAGATTTTTTCTCAATAATATTTAATTTCTCAACAATAGTCATAAAAAAAATAATTATCATCATATGTAATGAATGTAAACAAAAATTTAATTGTACTAGAAAAAAAATAAAACTACTTTCAGTTGGAGTTATTTGGTCTCAAGAACAATGGGGAAAAACAGACAAATATTTTAAAAAATCTAAACAAAACAAAAAAGTGGTGCATTATAGTGAGGGCCCCAAACTCAAGTTTCCCAAGGGCCCAGAGGCAGTGATTCCACCGCCTCTGAAGTAAAAAGGAAATAAAAATAAGTCATAAAAACATCTCAGCTGTATCCAAGAGGTCGTAAGGAAAAAAAATAAGGAAATACTAAAAGCCCGAGACACAGAGAAAGTTCTGGATAAACCCCGAGGTCAGATTTGTTCTGGTTCCGGGTGATTCGGCGGCGTCTTCTCGTGCCGCTCCACTAAAGCTCCACACGTCTCTTGTTGACTCCCAGATGGTTTTGACTTCTCAAGCGAAGCCGAGCTCAGCCTCACCGTCAATCCCCCGACTAGCGTCCAGCTGCCGGGCCCCTGGGAGCGCGGCGGCGGCGGCGGCGGCGGCGGCAGCAACAGCGAGCGGAGAGGACGGGGCCCCAGCCAGCACAGCAGCAGTAGCAGCATCATTCCCCCCATCACGCTCGAGGGTACGAGGGGAGGGCTCCGAGCGCAGGGGCCCTTCCACCAGCTTTCCTCCTCCTCTTCCTCCTCCTCCTCCTCCTCCTCCTCCTGCTCGTGAGGAGACGACTCCACCGCTTCACCTGTGGCTGCTGCTGCTTCTGCCCCCACAACGGTTTAACCAGGGTTCCCACAAACGACGGAGCTAGAACCAACTGAAAAGAGAATTTGTTACGTCGAAAAACAAAATTAACTCAAATTAACTTTCGCAACATGTGACCAGAATCTGATCTTTTAATGACAGTCTGAGCGACACAGATCTACGGAAGCCGAGAGGGGTCACAGCAAACGCAAACGCCGCGACAAATACAAATGCGACAATACGACAAAAAGCCACAACAAACCAAAAAACGGAATGTGACCTGGACGTTAAGACTGAAGTCACATGTCAAAAGATCAGATATGTATCGGTTTTAGGAGCACAGATCCAAGTGTCCGGGGTCGCGTTTGAAAAAATCGGATCTGTACGGAAGCTGAGAGGGTCACAACAAACGCAAACGCCGTAACAAATACAAAAGCCACAACACAAACGCAAATGCTGCAACACATTAAAAAGCCACAACACATCAAAAAGTCACAACACATCAAACGGAACGCAACGGAAGTGACCGCGGGACTCTATTTTCCGACGGACCGATCAAGCGGCAAGTGAAGAAGAAGAACTACAACGTGAAACGAATAATGATAAAACAATAAATTACTTTTACTTACGTTTCCAACTTCTCCGTTCCTTTACTTTTCACGTTGTAGTTCTTCTTCTTCACTTGCCGCTTGATCGGTCCTTCGGAAAATAGAGTCCCGCGGTCACTTCCGTTGTGGCTTTTTAATGTGTTGTGGCATTTGAATTTGTTGCGGGATTTGCATTAAAATAGAGTCCCGCGGTCATTTCCATTGTGGCTTTCGTTTCTTCACTGTTCCTCTGGAAATGACTCATCAGGATCAAACAAGGAAATTATCCGAAAAAAGACACGGATTATGGCTAGAGAACATAAACCGTGAAGAGATTTCCAATCCGCGTCTTTTTTTCGATAATTCCCTTGTTTGAGCTTCTGATGAGTCATTTCCAGAGGAACAGTGAAGAAAAGAATCGTTTTATCCCGTTCACAGCGTCTAGAACAACCAAATACACAACAAAACCTGCCCATGTTTCTCCAGTGCTGCTGAAGTCAATGACATAGTGTGTCCGGTGTCATGGCGGCGTAGTTACCGTTGCCATGGGGACACTTGACGGTGCAAAGCCTCTATACACTAGACGGTTCACGAAAACCCCAGAAGTGCGAGTTCAGGCACCATATATTCTGTGTTGGCAACAATTCCTGAGATCGAGGATTTAAAGTCCGACCAAAGCGAATATTTGGTGAATTTTATCAAGAGGAAAGACGTTATTGTTCTTCCAGTTACCAGTTCACTCCGTTAGCGACGCATTACATACGTCACGACCAAACAGCAGAGATTGGTTAAATGAAA